AAAAAAAAAAAAAAAAAAAGGGAAATAATTCCTTATTTTCCATTGGGGTTGACAAAATTGCTGTTATATTCCATATTTAAGTTATTTTATTGAACAAAAGGAAAGTAAAACAAGGTAGAAGAGTAGAAATGAGCTGACTTCTGAAAGGCAGTATTGTTTTTCTTTATCTGTGATCTTTGGATGAAACAGTTCCTGTTTAGGACATTTAGTGCTTGTAGTGACATCACGTATCTCTGATTATTGCCCTTATAGAACTCACCTCAATTACCAATGTTGCCTTGTATTTCTTACTGTACATTTGCGGTTTGAATCCTACAGTGATGAGAATTCCTTTACTGCAAGAAGGAGGAAGTTGTCCAGCCTCAGGTTTTACAAAAAACTCTGGATCACTTTTAGGTAGGAAGTAGGCGGTGAATTGTTGAGGGTATCTGGAACAGAAATGTGAATATCAGCCAGGTAAACTGGATCATTACCTCATTTATTTTGTGAGAACTTGATGAATACAATTTGAATCCTGCTGCAGTTGGCCTACAGGTAAACATCAATGCTGAATGCTTAGAGAATAAAAGGAGACATTTTAAAAATTGCTGAGATGGGATTCTCAGCAGGATGATAAAATCCTGAAGATTATTTTCAAGCACATCTTATATTCATAGTGTACCTAGAAGAAAATGCATGTCCTTATAAATGTTGGCATGAATGAAAATTAATCGTTTACAAATGTCATAATGTAAAATTACTGACCACTAATTTTATTGTAAAATCTTTTGTTTCTACTACTATTTCATTATGATATCTTTGCACTCTCCTTTAACTTTCCATTTGCTAAATGAAATGCAAACACTTTTCAGTTTCATAAAAAATTCTTGGGTCTGAAGATGGGTTACTATGATATGAAATAAGCTGACAGTTAAGATTCCAGTGAGCATCTTCATATCAAGATTGACTAGATTTGAGATGAAGATTGAGAAAGAAGTTGAGGAAATTTTGTAGAAGAAAGTTGGATAGAAATCAATGCATGAGAAGTTGTAAGGCATTAAAAAATCAAAATTGAGGGGCTGGGGATTTAGCTCAGCGGCAAAGCACCTGCCTGGCAAGTGCAAGGTCGTGAGTTCGGTTCCCGGTACCAGAGAAAAACCAAAAAAAAAAAAAAAAAAATCAAAATTGACAGGGAAGATGGATGTCAAAGGTCAAGTGTGGCTTCTGAAAACAGATTCAAGAGTGTAACAAAGAAGACCCAGAAGATTCTCATTAGAACTCTGTGAACCAATCAACAAATATATATGGAGTATCATGATGGAAGATATGCAAACACGGTTTATGGATATGGATGGCCTGGATTTGAATAAACTCGGTACCTAAATTCAGGAAATTTACTTAATCTTTCTATGCTTCAGCTTTATTATGTGTTCAATTAAGTTAATAACCATAGTAAAGTCATTATATCAATTCCTAACACATGGCAAAGTTCTCTGTATTAGCCAATATTTCCTTAGTAATGATTATCATTACTTGTGCTTTAAAATATTTTATAACCAGTGATAAGAAATAATGAATGATCTAATAAACGAGAAATAAGTAAGACAGAGTGTCTAGGAGCATTACATCATCAAAATTGCAAAATAGCAACTCATAAGCCTTCCTTCTTCCAGTGGAGATACCAATTCAGAAATGATATATGGAAAAATTCCCTTTTCAAGAAATCCAGATAACAGATAACAGGGTCTGTACCACAGTTCAGCAAGAAAGAAGCCACACAGAACCCAGTAGGAAAATTCTCGGCCCATTTTTGCAATGTTTTTTTCCTGCTGGACAAAGTAGCCCCTTCCTGGCTTGTGTCTGAAGAAGAAAATTGAAGTGAGCACACAAGGTGGGTAGTTTTCCAGGAGAACTGGTTTATGATTTGCTTCTATCAGACTGCTGATGGAATTTAGCATCTTCTAGATTTTGGGGGCCACTGAGAATCAAACACAAAGTTGGGAGCTGGAAAATACGCTAAGTGCTTTGAAAAATGCAAGACAAAGAGACAACAGTAGAATGGATCAAATCAAAGGAAGAATCCCTGAACTTCAAGATAAATTGTTTAAAAATATCTAGTCAAGCGAGGAGAAAAGGACAAAAAGATTTGAATAAAGTGTATGCAATTAGTAGGATACTAGTGAAAGAGCTAACATGTAGGAAGGTGACATTAGTAAGGTGATACAGTTGTAAATCCAAGTCTTTTTTCCTTCCACAAAGAGCAACAATTTGTGAGAACTATTGTTTTGCTGATGCTATGGTTTGTCTCCTTCAGAATTCATGTTTAAATTTAATCACCAATGCAACAGTGTTGTTGGTGGGGTCTAACGGGAAATGATTATATCATGAAAACAGAGGTCTCAGGAATGGATTATGCCATTGTCATGGGAGTGGTTTAGTTATTAGAAGAGCAAGTTATTATTAAAGCTGCATGCTCTATCTATGCTTTTTTTTTTTTTTCTTGACTGGGTCTTATACTTTCACCTTTAGCAATAGTAAGATATAGAAAAGATCTCTTCCAGATGTTGGTTTTTATAATACCCCGTCTCCATAACGATGAACAAAATAAAATTTATTTCTCAATAAATTACCCAGTGTATGGTATTCCGTTATAGCAGCAAAAGTGGATTTTGACGTCTAACCAAAAATTGAAAATAACTGTTTTAAAGCAGCTTAGCAAACTGTAAGAGAACAGACAGACCACTCAGCAAAATCAGAAAAGTAATACATAAACAAAACGAAAAGTTCAACACAGATAGATACCATTTTTAAAAAGCAATCTGGCAGTCATCCATGAATGAAAATAAATCTGGAAGAGCTCAGAAGCTCTACAGCAATGCTACAGTAATGGGGAAAAACAAGAATAGCTGCACAAATGGGTATCACCCCATCCTTGAAGCAAATACTAAGCACAGAAAGAGAACTCTGGCTTGCAAGTCCCGTTAACACCAAAAAGGAGAATGGGTTAAACAGCTGGTTTCCCCAACATTTTGGGAGCACTATCTTGGAGAGTAGCTTCAGTTTCGCACTACCGTAATCACTGGAGAGACTGGTACAGTTGATGTGTCTAAAGACAGTTGGAAACAAAGAAGGTGGAGACTCTCAATAGCAATCATGTAGCAGGAGTCACCGCGTTTTCAGTGTCGTGCTCTGCACAGGACTCCATTACACTTCTTCACCGAGAATGTCAGAAACCCTCTTAGCTGTCTTGCGTCCCCAACCACATTCACTGCCACGGACCCCACAGCATTTGATGTTGAGTACTCATGTCTGGCTCTGCAGAGCAACCTGAGAAAGCAAACAGCCAGCACAGCCATCACAGACTTCCTGCTGCTTTCACTACAAAAAGTTCTGCACATTTTTGTCTACATGGTCTCCAGGTGCCTGCAGCACTTCATCTTCCCTAATCTAAAGCCACTCCAGCGTCTGCTGCTATGGATGCTCTCGCTTAGTATCCAATATAACCACCAAATGTGTGCTTACAAACGGCCCTGAGTTCCCTACTAAAGATACCAGCTTTCACTCTAGCGCACCAACAGCTGATGCCTGCAGCGAGGCCAATGAATACTGCCATTCCCAGCCCCTACAACTGCCTGTGTGCATTAGCAGCTGGTTTTGCCTCCTGAGGCTATTCCCACCACTTTGCTTAAATACGCAGCAGGCCCCTGCAGCTGCACATGCATGCACACCTCCAGCGTGGGCCTGTGGCTGTCAGTCCATGCCAGCTGGCTGCACCATATTCCACCTGTGTACCAATTCCCCAGATCAATGGAATTATTCTGTATCACAGACTTATACTAATAAAAATTTTTTTAAAAAGCAGGAAAAAGAGAAAAAAGGCATGGAAGAAGAAGAGAGCAAACGGAAGGAAATAAAAGCCCTTTACTCAGTTTAAAAAATTAAAAAATGAATACCTAAGAAGAGAAAGTGGCAAAAACAGTGTGCTCAAAGAGGGGGTATTAATGGCAATGTGATTTGTACTGTAATAATTTTTAAAATTTGAGTTTTTACCATATATTTTGGTAACACCTCATATACAAAGCATTTTATCTAATAGCACATGGGTAGATAATACATTAGGCCATAAAACACATATTTGTTTGATTTATTTCTACTCAGATCCTTATTATTCTTTACTATTTCCTTTTACATACTAACTTTAACTCTAGGCTATTCTTTTTATAGTTCATTGATATATAATACTGCTTATTTGAGATCCTTTATCATTTTTAATTTGAATATTTCTCTATAAAGGTCCCTCTTAGAACTCTTCTTGCTGTGTCCATTAAGATTCTATACACTGTATTTTCATTTTAATTTGTCTCAAGTCATTTTAAAATTTTATGATTTCTTTAATTTCCACATATTTGTGAGTGTTTCTAATTTTCTCCTAATTTTCATTTCTAGTTTCATATCACTGTGACTGGAAAAAGCATATAAACCCATAGGAAGAAAAATAAACAAGGCTGGGTTCTTTTCAAAGAACGGACAAACTTAGATAAATAAAATCAGAAATAAAAGCATATTACATTGAAACTTTCAGAAATTAAAAGGAATATAAAGGCTTATGATAAACAATTGTATGCCAGTAAATTAGAAAATTCAGAAAGAAATTCATAATTCCTACAAACATACTACTTTACTAAGATTGAATCAAGAAGCAATAGACTAGCTAAGGAGGTCACTAACAGATTGTAGCAGTCATTAGAAACTTTCTAGCAAAGAAAATTTTAGCATAAGATGGCTTCAGAGCTAAATTCTAAAAAAACATTCAAAGAGGAATGAATACCAATCAATATTAAACTCTTCTTAAAAACAAAACCACACCAGGTATGGTGGCACATGCCTGTAATCCCAGCACTCGGGAGGCTGAGGCAGGAAGATCATTGCAAGTGTGAGACCAGCCTGGGATACACAGTGAGCTTAAGGACAGCCTGAACTGCATAGTGAGACCCTGTCTCAAAAAGAAAAAAAAAAAAAAAAAAAAACAAAAAAAAAAAAACCACCAACCTCTATATAACATTAAAGTTCTACAAACTTGAAGAAGAGCAAAAGAAACCAAAGAATAGCGGAAGGAAAAGGATAGACATTAGAGCTGAAACAAATAAGATAATATAAATACAATAGAAAAAAATCAACGAAGGTATGAATTGGGTTGTTGAAAACATCAACAAAATTGATAAAGTTTTAGCTGGACTAACTTAGAAAGGAAAATACTCAGATAAATAAACTAAAAATGAAGACACTTTATAACTGATATTGCAGAAGTCACAAGGAGTATAGGACACACTATGAACAATTATAAGCCAAAAATAAAGGATTACCTAGGAAAAATAAAGACTTAGAAAGATATCAACTACAAAGACTAACTCATGAAGGAAGAGAAATGTGACCAGACCTACAGCTAGAA